TCAAGTTAGGAAATAGTCGAGTCTATCTTGAACCGATCAAAACTAGTAGAATTAAATGAATGAATCACATTTTTACTTTTTAACAATTTAATTCATGTTTCTAAACTATGATTTTCTCATATTTATATCTAATAACCATTAACATGTAAAGAATAACGAACAAATAAGCAAGATATATATATATATATATATATATTAGAGTATTCATGGTTTTCTTAAGGGTTAATGAGCAAATAGGATTCTGAATTATTACTCAAAAATCATCCTGAACCCTAACTCTTAAAATATACAAAATAAATCATAAACTTTTAAATTCATAATAAAATAAATTTCGATTGTTAACTTTTTTAACACTGTTACTGTCTATACAAGTACTATTCAAGGTTTATTTTTCTATGAATTTAACTCTGACTATTACTATACCAGCATAGATAGTAACGGTGTTAAAAAAAGTTAACGATCAAGGTTTATTTTACTATAATTTTAAAAATTTAGATTTATTTTATATATTTTAAGAGTTTAGAGTTTAGAGTTTAGAGCGATTTTTGAGCAATAGTTTAGGGTCTTATTTGCTCATTAACCCTTTTATTAACTATAGTATATTATTTTTGTTTTAATTTAATAGTTATTTTTATCATTATGGATGAATGTTTTCATCTTCAAAAGATATGAATTTATTAATAATGGATTCCATTAATGTCCAAGCATTGAACTAATGCATCAATTAATTAGTTGAGTGGCTTGGAAAACTCCTTATTCTGCGGACCGAAAAAATAGATAGGAAATTAGTTAGGAAAAGGAAATTAATCAAGTTTTTCTCAATTTTTAATTGATTTCATGTAGTTTATTTTATTTTAATTAAAATATTATATTTTGATTGATTAAATATGCTAATATCTAAGAGTTAAGATCCTTGAATGTTTACCTTTAAAAATTAAATTAAAGTTTTTTGAATTTTTATTAAAATATTATATAATTTTAGAATTTATTACCTAATTTTTATGATTTACAATTTATATAATATAATTAATTTATCTCCTTTAAATATATTTTATACATATAGAATTTTCATAAAAAAATAAAAATGTAAAAATTCCATTAAATCAAATAGTCTTTTTTTGGAAAAAAATATTAAATCAATTTTTTTTATAAATTTTAAAAGTTATTTTATTTTCTAAAAAAGTAGTCATCCATTTATAATTTTTCAATAAATTACATAAGCCTGATTCAAAATTGAGAAAACTAGAAGAATTTGAAGATTAATTTTCTCTTTATCCTTTTATATGTAAATTTTACTATCTTAAAAATCATAACATAAAATACAAATGATATTTTTAAATATTATAACTATCTTTTCTTTTATCAATTTAAATATTATACTATCTATCTAAGTATTTATATATTTATATATAATATACTAATAAACGTATAACGAGCTGCATTAAATTAAATTATTAACTGTGCAACATTTTTATGGTTCATATTGCTGGCGTGCATCATGCATTCAATGTAATGATGTATGGTTATAAGAATGGATCCATTGAAAAGTACTTCTTTCATTTCTATATATATATATAAATTATATTATACAGTTTAATAAAATTAGTTAATCATAATAATTATATTTAAAAATAAAAAAATTAAATTAAAATGATCTATGTTAATTAACATAAGTATGCATTAATTATTTTTTATTAATATAAATTACGAGAGGTTATTTAAAAAATGTGTAATAAATATTTATTAAAAAATGTGATTTTGATTATATAAAAAAATAAGTAAAAAGTAATAGTTTCTTCTATAAATAGATATAAATAGAAACAAGGAGAGTACTGCAATTCTTTATAATTAAATGATAGAACTAAAATAGAAGCAATTAATGGCATGTTTGACAACCTATTCTAGAAACAATTTTTTATTCTCTAAAATAAAAGAATAAAAAAAGTCTATTCACCTATCCCTATATGTAGGATGTTTTTTACTGAATCATGCAAATTAATAAAAGTTAGTTATTTAATTAAAAGTATAACAATATTTTAATTTTGCCCTTGATTATTGTAAATAAAAATAATTTTTTTTAAAGTAAATTAATGAGAATACTTATCTTTTTTTCTTTTTAATTTAATAAGGGTTTAATAGTCTATTTATTAAAAAATATACTAACAACTTCTTATATTTAGGGATAAAAAATATTCTACAAAACCTTTTATATATATATTTTGAAAAATAAAAACAACTTTTAAATATTTTGAAAAATAAGAAGAAATGAGAAAAACATATATTTTTATTATTTCTTATTCTCAAAATATATTTTACAAAATACCAGTTCTCAAAACAATAAAAAAAATAGTTTCACACAAGTTCTAAAATTCAACTTTTTTCATATTATAAACTAACAAATAATTCAATTTTGTCATCGTAAAGTCGAGGTTGTTAGATTCTATTTTGCAGCCAAAGTGAAATTTTTTTGGGAGAATAACATATAAGTTTTAAGGAGATTAATTAATTTAAATTAAATCTCAACTAATTTTAGAATGTAAAATTTTAAAAATTTATAAATTTGATTCTCAATTTTATAATTTTATTGTGATGAATTTATAATTTATGTTTCAAATTTTAACGAGAAAGATAAATTTATTTATTCTTCAATCACATTAAAATTTAAAAAATAAATTGTAAATTTATCACAGTAAAATTATAAAATTAAGGGTCAAATTTATAAATCTTTAAAGTTTAATACTTTAAAATTAATTGATATTTAATTTAAATTGATTGATCTCCTTAAAACCTGTATGTCATTCTCCCAATTTCTTTGCCAACTTTGAGCTGCATCATTATCTACAAAGTCCGAGATTGAAGTTTCAATCTATTATATTTGTGCTTGTTTTTGTTTTCTCCTTTTTTATTTTCGTAGCTGTTTATATATATATATATACATACATGTATGTATGTATATGTAAATGTAAATAAAGCACATAACAGAACCTGCATGTGTTTTATATTGGTCCGTGTGTTGTGCCTTTTCTTTTACTTTTCCTTTTTCTTTTTCTGTCTCGTGTCCGTATGCTTGTGTGTAATGCCAAGCCTAACTTATCTAGTCATCTAGATCAATTGGATTTTTATGTAAATTCGTTTTAGTTCATCTTATTATATATATATATAAAACTATTTAATATAATCGGGTAAAAAGAAAGAAAGAAACTCTTTTTTTCATCTTATTATATATACATATATATATATATATAAAACTATTTAATATAATCGGGTAAAAAGAAAGAAAGAAACTCTTTTTTTACAGACCCTTGGTCACGCAAACGCAATTAAAACTTCACCCAGAACTGGGTGTAACGAAAGAATTCCATTTCGGACCAAATAATAATAATAGCGTAACATCCTTGAACTTTGAACCACATTAAAACTTTGACCAATCAGCCATAGATGATTTAGGAAGGAATATTATTTCGTGAATATTATTGAAGCCCACGTGAGGTTATCACTAATCACACATGAACCACACCACACAACAAGTAGGCCTAAATTTGCTTATCTAAATTTTTTGGTGAGAATTTAGTCGTGACTCATAAAATCATAAATTCAAGTCATGTTAACTGTTATCGATGTGACAATTTTATTGATATATTATTTATAAACATTTGTATTAATTATTTTTAAATTTAAAAATATGTTTAGATTTTGATAAGTCTTGGAAATTCAATTCATTTAATTTTTTTAAACTAAAAAAAAAAAACCTTAACAAGAGCTTTTTCTAAGGGTCAAAGTCAGTCACTTTCTAATTCTTGTATCATCGCTTGACTTTGTGTCATTGTGCGGAAGACTATCACGATCATAGACTACGACTTAGAACTATTCTTGATATCGCACGCATCACTCTCATAATCACAATTCCTATTCTCTAATCTCAAAGGCTAAATTAGATTAATCACACCACCATCCTTCATTATGGGATCTAAGGCCATGTCATTCATCATTATTTTCCTTTTAAATGATACACACACACACACCCACTAGTCGCATCTTCCTCCTTAATTTAATATATATATATATATATATATAGATATAAATTAAGAAATCCCCACCCTCCGCCATTATTATAGCAAGCGTTACTTCCTCTGCCCCAAGGAAACTCTTAATCCCTTTTCTTCCCTCCAAAAATTAGATCTTGCATTTATAAAGTTCTTCTTCCGTCGTTATATATAAAATATTTTTAATTAAATTATATAAATTAATAAAAATTAATTATTTAATTAAAAACATAATAATATTTTAATTTTATCTTTAATTATTGTAAATAAAAAATAATTTTTTAAAATAAATTAATAAAAATATTTATATTAAATAATTTAATAAAAATATAATGATTTTTCATTAAAAAATATATTAAGAATATCTTATATTTAAGAATAAAAAATATTTTATAAAACTTTTTATAACGGAGAAAATAAATGACTTTACGGGACCTTACAGTGCACGAAGAACAATGATTGTCAAGAATATTATTAATTTAAAAATATTGGAGCTCGCTAAACTCAGTGAAAAATAATTCTTAATTGTCATTCATTTTTTACAAGGTCCCAAAATATTACTTTCTTCGTTTGAAAATATAAAATATTTTTAATTAAATCTTACCTCAATAAATAAAATTGCTATCTATTTTTAAATTAATTTTATTTTTTTATATTTATATTTATTAAACACTTATAATAAATATAAAATTATTATTAATAGAAATATTTTTAAAAAAATAATTATTATATTTTAAAAAATTAAAAATATTTTATATTTTTAATATTTAATTTTTTAAAAAATATTTTATATTTTTTAACGAGTACTAATTTTTTTCATTTTAAAAATTACAAAGAGCTTTGTTCATTTGAGATTTCAGAGAAAGAGACCAGCTAATATGGGGGCATTCTGGTGAATTCGATCGAACTACGAGGCCATTCATGTACAAACACGGATTTTATATATGCTCATCGCGCTCCGAAAATAACAGAGACGGTGCGGCACCACTTGCCGCCGGTGGAACCCATTATCAGAAGCTTCTTATTCTCTTCCTTGTGATTTCGAAATTCGAAATTCAGAAACCAAATCGAGCGAATATATATATTTATATATATAATTTTAATTTCTTTTTAGCGAAAGCAACTTGCGCCTTGTCTCTCTTTTCCAAAAGCTGTGTGATAGATCAGTGAAACTTCTTACTGAAATGAAGTCGAAGTAGCCCAAGAAAACGACGCCGTAAAATGCTGTGCAGAAGGGGTTCCCGGAGACGCAGTTCAGGATCGGTGCCGGTGTACCTCAATGTGTACGATCTGACTCCCATTAACGGCTACGCGTACTGGTTCGGCCTCGGGGTGTACCATTCCGGCGTTCAAGGTTAGTCTTCGAACTCAAATCCCTCTCAGTTTGAATTTCAATTTTCAGATCTGTAATTTCTCAGGAAGTTAATAGGGTTTCGGAATTGCTATTTGAGTGTAGTTCACGGAGTAGAATACGCATTCGGAGCTCACGAGTACTCGACGACGGGGATTTTCGAAGCCGAGCCGAGACGATGCGATGGGTTCGCGTTCCGGAAGACGATACTGGTCGGAAAGACGGATATGGGAGCGGAGGAGGTCAGGTGCGTGATGGAAGAGCTCGCCGGCGAGTACAAAGGAAATGCATATAATCTCATCACCAAGAACTGCAACCATTTCTGCAACGATGCTTGTATCAGACTCACCGGAAATCCGATTCCCAATTGGGTGAATCGTCTTGCGAGAATCGGTATTGTTCATGTTCAGTGTCAGATTTCGTTTACTGAATGGATGATTTGTAGGTGGAGATAATGGAATTGATTTCGGTGATGAACTGAGATGCAGGGTTTTTGTGCAACTGTGTGCTTCCGGTGACCTTGAATTCGACGAGAGTGAGGCATCACAGAATAGACGACAAGCACTGTTGTGGTGAAGGAGAGAAGCAAGCATTAACGAGTGAGACGAGTACTGATAAAGTGACTGTTTCGAATTCAACATCATCGGCAACATCGTCGCCGGCATCTGGTTCCAGATTGCGTAGGGGAAGGAGTAGAACCAGACGTCCTCTTCCTCCTTCTTCACCGTTGATAATTGGTTCTTCTGCGTCTTCTTGATCTGTGAAGTCAATTCTGAAACATTAATTTCTTTCTTTGTTTTTTTTTTTTTGGTGCCTCTTCATTTTCAAATTTACAATTAAAGAAGGAACATTAACCTATTATTAGTTTTTTTAATTTGAATTTGTGAATGTTGTTCATTCTTGTCACCCAATTAGCAGCTTATAAGGCTTCTATGTCGGAAAACTTGGCAGGAATCCCGGAGATCATATACCATATTGCTTTTTTTTCTTTTTTACGGATTTTCAAATTTCGTGTAGTAATATGGGATTTGATCATGTAGATTTTATAATTTTTAAAAGTATAGATTAATATGTAATGATAATGATACCAAGCAAATAAAGCAATTTTGAAGCATTAGGTTGCTGCCATTAGCCTACTATTTACTAACCATAAGTTGCTTTCATCCAAATCCAATTTATAAAAAAAGCCCCTTTCAAATTAGAAAAATTAATCGCAATAAATACGATAAAAGGCCGGTTGTTAAGATGTTACAATTAAAATTCAATTTTTAACCGCTAAACCATAAAATGTGAAGTTATAAAAGCCATTATTTTACAAAACAAATTCGAATAGAAAAATAATTATTTGTAGAATTAGATACATTTTTTCTTGTACTGAATTAATTTTAAAATAAGATATAATGTTAATGACTTAGGAATAATATGATTTAATTGACGTTATATTTTATAAAAATAGATATAGTTTGGATAAAACCTTTTTTGTCTCTTTGTAAAGATATAGCCTTTTTGGAGTTATACACCAATTTAAATTTTCACTAAGAACCCCAAATATGTATGCGATACCTGAAAGAGTTTTACTATGATTTTTTTGAAAGAATAATTTTAAGATTTTATTCAAGAAAATTAATTACTTTGACAATTGAATTTAGGACTCTTAAGTTTGATTGTCAAGGGACCTGCGAATTCTAAATTCAATTATCAATAGATTTTAAAGTAATTAATTATCTTAAATGTGATTTGCATGTAATTCTCTTTCAATTTTTAGATCTTGTAACTAAGTTTAAAAAATTGTACTGTATTCGATCCTCGTGTTTCGCAGTAGACACGTTAAAGTAGTACCCCCGACAGACACGTCATATACTACGCACAAAGGGCCATTCTGACGTGTTCTTCAATGAAATGACCATATGACCTTAATGGTGAAGCATGTTCTGATATTATTTCGAATCCACATTAAAGCGATCACTTTGTCGGTAGTATAAATCGGGTAATTATATATTTATATACTATATCGTTGGCCCCAAAAAAAAATCATATACTATATCTAATATTTTAACTTTAAAGTTTTTAATTTAATTTTAACTAAATTGGGATAGTGTTTTGCTCAAAATTTAAAACGAGCCACCACTTCACATAGGATTCAAATATTAATATAATCCTTTATTTGGTGAAAATTAATATATTTCTCTTAGTCATTAATATAAGACAAACTTAATTAACTTTGTACTCATTAAAAAATGATAGTTATATTTTTTAAAATTATTAAAAAATATGCAATGTTACAATTTTGTCATTCTTTACAATTAATAATCATAATAAATTATAATATAGGAATTCAAACTATAATAAATAAACAAGGAGTAAAATTAAAAAATATTAATTACTTTGACTTTGCCTTATAATAAAGACTTAAAAACTTTTCAAAAATTTGCCTTACATCAAACATGTATAGGAACGAGACTCGGCTTTTCACATGAAGCTAGGGTAGGGGCTCATTAAACACAAGGCTAATCTTGGGTCCAAGTACTTTGAATCAAATACAAATGTGGTTCAGACATCCTTCCTAATATTGAAAAGAAGCGATTAGGTTCTAACATTTGGTTGGGGATCAAGTCTTCTTGGGAGAATGTTAAGTCAGGGACGGCGATGAGTGCTGAAAATAGGAATGCTTTATGAAAGTGGAGTAAGAATAATCAATTTTCGGGCAAAACTACTTATGACTCTCTAGTTCAACACACCAAAGTCTATGATCGGTTCAAGGTGCGAAAGGATGCTATTGAGGAAACCATCCATGTACTCCACAATTCCCCTACCACAAAGTACTTTTGAATGGAGATCCTTCCCCATCAATATAAAAGGTCATATTTTGAGGCGAGCATTCAAAAGTAGATCAAAGGGAGCATGCGAACCTCAAGGAGGGATAATGGTGTTCGCAGGAGATCAAGGTAGAACAAGAACTTATTCCAAGGCAAAACTACCTCTAACTTTGCCATTGATGCATAGACTTTGGCTATTATTAATACTTTTAAAAATTGTCTTAAGCTGATTGACTTAAGGTATTGTGTAGAGGCAAAAAGATGTTCCTATGCATAGAGGCACCTAGATATATTCCACCAATAATTGACTTAAGTTAAATGTAGATGGTGTATTTTTTGTGGTTTAAAACATTGCAGGTTGTGGTAGTTTATTTCATAACTTGAGTGGTGAGTTTAAAACTGATTTCATGTTTAAAATAAATGATGATGACCTATTAATTGCTAAACTCTTGACTTGCATGTGGGGCCTAAAATTTGCCTAGAATCTTGAATATCGATAGTTGATTCTAAAATCTGATTACTTTGAAACTTCAAAGTTACTTAGTGGTAGAAACTCCTCTTCTTACCCAAATATGGATGTTGTTTATGAGATTCAAGCTCTACTAAGTCACAATTAGAGTGTGGTAGTCTATAAAATCTCAACTGCCGATGTGTTTGCCAAAGCTCTATCTTGTGTTGTTGGTTTTCACCCCCCCTTTTTTTTCTCCTTCAATTGATTTAGTTAATGTGTTACAACATGACATTATTATTGCTCAGTTTCTTCCCTTGTTATTTAAAAAAAAAGGATGGAGTATAGATTCTAGTGTTAATATAAACTTTTTTACCCAAAAAATATTAATATAGATATTTTAGTAAACTAATTTAAATTTTTTTAACATAAATATAGTTAACTTGAATTTTAGATTATAATTTTCTAAAAAAAATATAATCATGAAGTGATGATATACTTGATTTATCCACTTATTCCTACGAGGTCACTAAAAATATGTATGATCATGATTCCATTTTTCCTTTAATAGTCCATCACTGTAATTAATTAATTTTGTTATGAAAACAAAAAAGGAGCGGCTTTGGAGATGTTTGAATGTTTCCCCTTTCGCCACCAAGGATGCTATTATAGTCAACAAAGTCAGACAATATAGTTCAACTACTTTTGACTATCCTCTGCAACAGGGACAAATGTGGAAAATCACGTTTTCCTTGTCATTATTTTATTGGAGACTTTTTATGTTTTAGGCTTTTAGCTTTGCCTCAGGTTCGATTTTGTCCGCCTCAGATTTTTTCTGGTATTAAAAAAAAATATACCCTTGTTATTTTTTTGGCCGAAAATTACCTTATCGATGACTAGCACCGTTTAGCCCATCAAGTGATTTTATGTTTTTATTTTTCTCTTTTACCCTCATATTCTTAAAATACTGAAAACGAAATTAACCTTTGAAACGAGTTGAAGCAATAGTTCAAGAGTTGATAGTCTAATTGAAATCAACATGATATTAGACCTGACAAAAATAATATAATTTAATCATAATACACAAAAATATTCATATTTGACTATTAAAGAAATTAATATATAAGTAAAAAAGTTATTGATTCTCAAGTTAGTGGAATGTTCATTCATAAAATCACATGCATGTCTTGTACAAATATTAATTATAAATTTTTGAAAATAATAAAATACAATAACATTAAAAATATTGATTAAGAGATTTAGAGTTGATTTAGGTTCACAATTCCCAAGGGGAAGGGAAAAAAAGGAGAATTACAATCATGTTCTACATAAAAAAATTGATTATTGCAAGGTTCATTGACAATTGAATTAAATTGCATTGACAATACAATCAAACTAAACTGTATTAATAACACAACTAGTTGTCAGTAGACCTAAGTTAACTCATTCATCCCACCAGTTGAGATTGAGTTAAAACCTAACTCATAAAGTGATCGATTTGTTCAGTCAATCAGTGGCCAATCTATCAATCCATTGATAAACCCCATTTAGATCAATCCAAGTTTGCAAACAGTGCATATTCTTTCTTAATTTAGAATGGTCCCTCAGCGAGGGAGAAAGATACAAGTGAAGTATTTAATAAGTGTCCTTTGTTTTTGGCGCAGGACCATCCTACTCAGAAAACATAATCTCCTTCATTTGTACCTACCTATTGTCATTCCATTACCATTTAATGATCCAAAACGACCAAAAGGAACAAGATTTTCGTGAGATTACCATATGGTGACTTTTCATGATAAGATATGATCACGTATTCAGATATGTTAATTCATGGGTTGACTAGCTTGCTTGCAAGGTCAAGACCTAATTGTGTAGTTCCATCCAAGCACAGTATATTCTTTTCCTTTGGTTGCATTTATTTGTTGGTTGATATGCCTACTAATTAGTTTTTTACTCTTCTCATGCAATATCCATTGTATGTTGTGGGGAAAAAGAGAGGAGAATTTTAGTAAAGGACTCTTGTAGGGTTTAATTTCAAATCAAGACTAATAGATTTTGAAAATAGATTGAATTGAAAATATATTTTAATAGAAAAAGACTAAAATGCCTTTCATTTTTTTTAAATATATAAAGTGAATTTGTTAAAATTCTAATTTGTCATTTTTAAAATACGCACATGCTTTTTTAGTGGAACTAGAAAAACTTGTCAACAATATTTCTTATAAATTCAATCTCGTTGGCTTGATAAAATATGAAATATACTTACTAAATCCTAAACTAAATTGTTAAAATAAATGGAGGACATTTTGATTATTTCATATCACAACATATTTTCAATTAAACCCCTTGCTCTTGCAATGTATTTTCAGATTTTAGTGGTTTTGATTTGAAATTAAATCCTTACAAGAGTCATTTTCTGAAATACTAAAAAAAAAAAAAGCACACAATCATTTCATTGTTACGGTCGGTAGGTTAAACCTCCATCTGCTATATGACTTTCAAACTCCAAAATAGTATACCTGACAGTGACAGGCCACATAGTTGATACCTTATAAGCTAGTCAACTTACAATTTACTTCAAGTCCATTACGAAGTAATCTCCACTACGCACTGTACAATGCAAAGGTTGCTTAATGTTTTCCGCCTCATCACTGTCAGATTAAGGTGAGCGTGAAGGTATGTACATAAATAAATATTCAGATTATTTTATTATTATTCTCGTTGAAGAAATTTAATCTTCCCTGCTGCCGCTGCTTCTTCTTCGTCTTTTATTAAATTAACCTTCCATTCTTAAATAATCTTTCTCAGTTGAGGAGTTGAGAATTTTCAGTTCAATAGGCAGAGCCAATAACATATAATTTCAGTATCTTTTGCCCTATCAGACTGTTTATGTCATTGTGTCAACAGAGTTGTATATAACATGCAAATGACAGTATCGAGTTGTAAGAGTAGCACAGATTTGAATTTGAGAAATTGAAAAATAAATTAAAACGAATGATCTACATCAGCTTTTCAAGAATGGTGGTATAAACTGTATTAGCAACAAGTAAAAGCATGTAAGAACTATCAGGATCCGATCCCAACGACACATATGGTATTAAAAAAGGTGGTTTGAAAGGGACCAAACAAACAATAATTCATAATTAAAAAAATGGCCAACAAGAAGATGAGCCAGCAGAAGAAAAAAGAGAATAGAATGAGCCACATGGGCATGCATGTATATCTGTTTTAGGTGATCTGACAGTTTTCTCTTTGTTTATATGGAAGTAGTGCCAACAAATGAATCAGAACAAAGTTGGCAGTCCGATGTAGAAGGAACAATCTTGGAGTGGCATTCCAGGGGGACGGCTGTAACAAGATTTTTCCCCCCAGATTTAGAGAAGGATATAGTAAAGAGTGATGTCTTCTTCAGAGGGGTAAAAAGACAGATTCATTTAACCTTATCATCAATTATAGCGGTTCTCTGCAGAGAATCATGTTACTTTTGCTTTTCTCTCACCCATTCAACAAAATTGTCCAGGACCAAGGGCCATGCATGTTCTGGATTGTAGTTGCTCAGGTCTGGGAAGCTTATCTGTTGGAAAAAAAGGAATCTGTCAGAGGCAGACTTCGAATAAAAACAAACAAGAAAGAACACATCCACAAAAGCCATACGACATTGCTTGCTTAATAATAGCAATAATTGAATAACATGGGAAAAACTACCGAGAGTTTCTAGTTTCTGCTCCACCACCAACTAACAAATTTATTTTCCCCGTGTCCTCTTTTAACTCCAGCCCATTACTTCTCTTAACTTGTAAGACATTACATTAATTAATCTCCTCCCTGTTTTGCATTACTTTTGTGAAGGGGAAATCTTGCTTATTATCTCTCTTTTTTTAAAAAGAAAAAAACTTCATTTGAGGAAATGAAGGGTTTGGACAAGCTTTTGCAAATACAAAAAAATTAGATTGCTTCTAGGCAGTGGTGGAAGCATTTCTTTTTGCTACAAGAAGTAGAAAATGAGGGTCCGTTTGGTTGCTGCAAAGAAATGGAATGGATAAAAAAAAATAAAGATAAAAATACAATGATCAAGATGTGGAGAGGAGATAAGTCAATCATGTTCATGAGGAGAGAAGAGAAATTTAGTTCATAAGATTGGGAGTCATGATTGTTGAGGTTGTGGTGGGTGTGGTGATTCTCACATTTGGGGCATATATACTGAGTTTTTCCATGTTTACCATAAGGGATTGGATAATTTAATTCATTTTTGTTCTTAGATTTTAATCCATTCCATTCACATCATCTCTAGCAACCAAACAACTCCTTAGACTTTCTCCATGAAAGCAGAAACAGAACCATAATATTCTTTCAAGACAAAGGTTATCATCACTCAGTCGTTAATTACCAACATTTATATAGTACAATCTGTTTAGCTCTCATCTTCGTTTCAGAAGTCTTGCAAATCACCAATACTTACCGATAAGTGACTTTGTGCCCACGGGTTACATATACAAATTTTTAAATGTCTGCAGCCAAACATATGCAATTGTGGTAAATGGCCAGATATTGAAAGTAGGCCTAATCACTCTTTAATCATTAAAACCAAAACCAATAGCTTCTCCCATTCACTATGTTCATCAACTCTCAACATTGAATTATGTGACCTCCAGTTATTAATCTTAGACTGAGAAGTTTCCCCTCAACACTGCAATCTAAAAAACATTGAATATGATTATATCTTTGTAAATTGTAATTGTTAAAGGTAATTAATAGCCATTTTATCATGATTTTGACTTCCACAGATCTTATGTGTTTCCTAGTAGAGCAACAAGTGGTGTGTCAACAAGTGCAAAAATAGGTAGTAAGAGAGTACATAGAAAGCTAAAAGATGAAAATCTGACATTGGTGTCACAGCAAAAGGTGAACGGAGATCTCCCTACTGGATAACTATCAACCAAAAATCTTGTGACGCAAAAGGAGAGAGTACCTCATTGCAAAACCGGAAAAATCCCATCCATTGATCCATGTTTATGACCTTGTAATCACTCTGAGTCTGCAGTAATACAAGTATGTAAGAACCTTTAACATATTTATCCTTTTCTTTTTCATTTTAACCAGAGTCTAACTGGCTACAGTATTAAAGGAGGCATCCACCAAGAAGGATAAAACCAAAGAGTTTGTGCAATTTACTTATTCCTCTTGTTTAATATCTCACTTCAAGATGAAAAAAATATGAAGAAAAAAAGGACAAGAATGTGACAACCATGCTGATAATACAAAACATAAAGGTCTTCTGGTTTGCTAATCTAGTGGACCCAAAATTGTTTGGCCAAGACCCTGTAACGTCAGCGGTTAAAAGAATAAAAAGAAACCAGAGAAAAGGAACCAGAGATGGGTGTCCCAAGTCTAACTAACTCTCACATGCTACGCAGGGTAAGTGAGGAGTGGAGAAATTACTGAGAAAACAGCATGATATATGTGGCGGGAGCTGAGTAGATAGGGCAGGTGAGATTTCATCCCAGAATGAGAGTCTCTAGCCCCTTGAAAGCTAGGGGCTTTTTTGAGTTCTTAGCTCTTAGTTTGTCATTCTATATTGCATTTTAGCAGAGGTGGATGAAGTGGCAGTAAACTGAGATTGCAATCAAAGAAGATAGATCAGAGTTGAAGAGGGTGGTTACAGAGAAGCATTCAAAAGAGAGTACAGAAGAGAAGAAATCAGAGATTGGTGAAGCATTTGAACCTAGAAGTGAACGATGATGTTGTTCGCTGCAGAGAAATCAAGCAATGTGAAGGAAACTCATCACCTGCCAGACATCAAAACAGACAATAGATGAAAACTGGTCTTTTGCTGTCAGGATGCAAAGTTTTGAGCAAATTAAAAAGATAGGAGCCAGCAACTACCTCTGTTGTCAATGAAGGCAAAAGAGGAAGAAGATGATATGAGCAAAGAAAAGAGTGAAGGGATCTTGGATTGAGTCATAGAGGTCAGACTGGATAGAAGCCCAAAGCTGAATTGGGAAGGAAACCATGGGCTTAATTACAGCAGAAGGGTGGGCCAATTACTTGGCAAATTCAGCCAACCCAAGTTCATTACTCAGCTGAAAGGGTGGCCCAATTACTTAGCAAATTGGGCTCATCTTTGAAGAGTTTGCATTAAGATTTGGGGGCATACAGCAGGCACTGAATGAGTGTCTTTGGATGATGGCTATGATATAGTGGCATCTAGGGGAAATTTTTAGTTTTGCGTTAAGAATTGAGACCTTGCATTGTCTGCGCTATTGTTATTAGTACTCACTTCTCATAATAGGTGGCAAACATGCTTGTTTTGGTTCTTTTGTGAAACAAGCACAAGGCTCCATTGAAAAGAAGTAAGTAGTCCAAACTTCCTGTTTAGACCTTAAGGAAGAGGTGAAACTTGTTTGGGTGGGTATAGATGGACCCAAATCTGTTGGGCCAAGACCTTGTAATGTTTATGGAAGAAAAATAATAAACCCTCACCAGTAGTAACGGGATGTTCTAAGTTCTTGCATAGATCTTGTTCCGTTATTCTGTGTCGCATCACTAAGCTTTGTTTCCAAAGCTGTTTTTTGTTACAGCTAGTGTTAAAAATTCTATTTGCCACTGTGAGAGTATGGAAGGACTCCTCTGTTTTCCTTCTGTTATTCAATAACATTCAGAAGTTCTTGGAACATCAACTGTCTTTTAATTGACATGGAAAAATATCTTAAACATCAAACAAGATTCAATGAAGCTTAGCTGTGCGGGAAAATTGAGAGAACTATATAAAGATAGATAAAGCAGAACTGAACTGATTAAAAAGAGAAAAGTAATTGAATTTGATTAAGCTCCTTCAATCACCAGGGCATGAGAAACCTGAGAGTATAAATAATGTCCATAAAAAATCCAAATAAACATTGTAAAAATAACACTCACCTTTAAATATTCCACAAATAAGTTGACTTGGGATGGAAATTGGGAACCCAGTACAAGAGTAAGTAATTCACAAATGCTCTCTATATCGATGCTTTTCTGCTTCTCTTCTGCCAAAATTTGAAAAACTAGAAGTTAGAGAACAGACATTGTGAAAAAGAATAAGGAAAATGAAAAAACATTCCTAAAATTAACTTTCATAACACATTTACTTTACCTGTTAAACAATATCGGAATGCATAAGAATAGAAATCAGAAAGATTCGATGGCCGCAAGACCTTTACATGTCAAAGAACAATAGCCATCAGTTTAATACCATCATCGCACATTAACAAATACATCATGCAATTTTCCAGAATATCATCAGAAAACATAAAAAATTGATCACTATACCTCCTTTTCTAGATCAGGAAGGGACTTCTTCAATTTACTCATTGTATCAGCCCTTAATGCTTTAAGGCCTCTCCTCCACTCATCCTATAAATAGTTAGGGTAAGTGAATTGATTTTAAATACAACATCAACAACAAGAAGAAGAGGAAGGAGAAGTTATGTAAATATGGACAATAGATTTGATATACACAAAAAAACTGCCCCTTACCAAGTTAAAATATCCTTGCTTCTCAGCTTTCATTTTCCTATCACATAAGACTCCATCAATTCCCAAACACAGACTTAAGATAAAGATATGGTAACAAGGAATCAATAGACTAAGAAGTAAGAATAGTTTACCATGCAAGCATCAAGATCCTCACATCAGTATGATTCACCTCCAAATCAGCACAAAGTGTTTCAATTCCTTCTGGACTGTATCCAAAATTAATAATTAGCTACAATATGGATTGCCCTTTAAAATTTAGAAGGGACAAAATCAATTGATTTGCCTAGTACAAAGATAAAAAGTTAGTTGCACTCTAAACTTACTCTCTAGCATTTTAGAAGGCATCTACTCTGAGAACTTCAGACCTAAAATGTAAATTTCTTCTATTATTTGGTAATTGGTAATGTATGCGATAACCTATAAGTGTCTTGAACATGAAGGGTGACTCTGTCTTTCTCCAGGGATTGACACAGAGTACATCCTGAATTTCCGTATATCGAATATTACATGGGATTTAGCAAATCCCTTCTTCATATGAAATAGCTCCCGAGTGTACTTCAGTACACCTATTATGTTTATCACACACAGCCTCAGCCAGATCAGTGGGGCAGGCACACTGATGAAACTCCCCTAGCCACATGTGTCCCATAACAGTTCCATTATAGCAACCACATGAGAAAGAATCATTTTCGCCTAGATATCCATGTCTTAAATTTGAATTAAAAAAATAAATATTGAATAAAATAATTAGAAATATATAATGATAGCCCATAAATATCCTCAGAAAGACATCATATCCTCGGATGAAGCATACTTACTCAATCAAACCAGAAGAAACATTGGCATATGAATAGAATAGACTGTCAATCCGTTCTGATTCTTTGGAACTTGCTTTACTTGAAGCTGAGGAGGAAAAAATGCTTGTTTAATTATGAGCATTGAAAAAATAAATAATGCCTCACTCAGGACTGATTCGTAGATAATAATCAGAAAACGCTGAATATATACACAACATTTTATTGTAGACAAAATGACAGGCTATCTATTGAAATATACAAATAGGAAGGAAGAAGAACAGATCACAAGTTCATTCCAAAAAAGCAACTAAAAGAAAATCGAGGGCATCTAGCACTTCACATGGAAGAACCGATCACAAGCACAAAGCCCCAACTTATGCAGTTCGATGACTTAAATCATAAATCCTTTAATTCAAGCCAAAGTTGCATTTTTTTTTTTCCAGAAGAAAAGAAGGGCAACAGCATAGGCTAGTAGAAGAAATCTTGCTAATTTATATTCCCTTTTCAGATAATAACCTGGGAACAAAAAAGAACCTTTCAAAAGAAGAAAATGAATAAAAGAAAAACGACCAATCAGAACGTTGGCAGGCATCGATATACAATCAATCCCTTAGGCAAGAAATAAAGAAAAACAACTTCAAACAAATATAGTTCATAAAAATTCAAAACACACTAACGAAGTAAACAATATACTTAATCAGAGCTTAGAGAAAATCCCTTCTAATGACCAAAGAACGACCATGGCTGGTTGCCTAGGAAAAGAAAGGAGGGAAAAAAAAAAGTTTTGACCCCAAACACGAGATTCTATGGGAAAAGAGCTGTAGGAGAAATCAATTACCAGAGCGGAAGAGATCGGCGGGGGAGGAATTAGAATTGGATTGACCCACTTTCTTGGATGTAGCGCGACGCATCTTCAAGAAGAAATCCAGAGGGAAAAATTGGGAGAGAAGAATTGGAAATGAAGAAGCGAGCGACCGAAGAATCTCCGTCGCTCAGAAAAGGGAATCCTTGAGGGTGTGCCAATTCAACAAGGGAGAAATGAAGGCGTCGGAGTCGGATATTGGCAATAGTACGTTTCCAGAACGCGTCTCTCAGGGCACACAGGTTGATGACGAGATTGATAAGAATACTAAATTGACTTGGGGTGAAAGCCAAGCGGTGAAAATAAAGTCAAATAGATACACACGCGCCTTTAATCATATTCCCGTTTACATGGTTACCGGAGGAACAAAATGCATGTTTTGGTTAACATGTCCCTCAGTCCTTGGATGAACTGGGTAGATATTGGTCCAGCTTAACTAAACATTTAAAAAGTGCTTGCAAGTTGTTGATTGAATTAGTCTAGATTAGAAGCCTAGGATATTGGATTGAATTAAAAGATATTTGTTTTAGTTATGATTTTTTTAGGAAAATTGATAATAAAATTTATTTAAAATATATAAATGATAATTTAATCTCTTGAAGAGCTATAATTCTCTTAAAATCTTTAAAGAATTTTTTATTATTAATGAATTTATATAAATTATCAAATTATTCTTGTTGAAAATAAATGATTTATAACTTTCTTTCTTATATTCGCAATAATGCAACAGCAAATAAACAATGTAACATATGAAGTTGTGATTTGTTATTACATTGTTGCGAATAAAAGAAAAAAATTATAAATATAAAAAAAATTATGAATCATTTATTGTTAACAAGAGTAATTTGATAATTTATATAAATTTATTAATAACAAAAAAGCCTCTAAAAATTTCAGGAGAATTATGGCATTTCGAATGATTAAATTATTATTTATATATTTTAAAGAGATTTTATTATCATTTTCTCTTTTTTTATTCTCTTTATCATTTTGCTCTTATTAAATATTGATAATTTTATTAATTATTTGAGTATTTTATTTTTAAAATATATATATATTTAATGAAAATAAAGTTAAAAACTTATTGAATTTTGAAAAAATTATTTTTTTTTAATTTTCATGGTGTTGAAAATACAAATAAGACTAAAGGGAGTATGTGTTTGAAAGAATGAAAGTTAGATCCATGACAAAGTTTTTTAAAAAATAAGTTGCAAATATTAACTTAAATAATTATAAATTTAAAATTATTAATTATAAATAAAATATTTAAATTCTAATTATAATCATCAATTTGTGATTGAGATTCTTGTCAGTATGTCAACTAATATTTACAAATCACTTCTCAGAAAACTCTATCACCTATTAAGGATATAAATGTGGTTAATTTATTCTTGTGATAGTTTACTGACATTCTCAATACATATTAGTTGATGGATTTAATGGACTTGTCTTCTTAGACAGCGATAAATAAACAAGGATATAAAATAGAATCAATGTAATCATCAATAATAATGATCGATATCATGGCATGAATGCGAATATTGTACCTAAAGTACAAAATATATAATAAAAATGTTATGTTATTCATATAAATTGAAAATAATGATATTTGTATGAAAAAGCTATAAAAATAAAAATTAATTTTAGGAACTAATAGTAAAATTCTCATCAAATATTTAGGTACTTATTTCTAAATTTTAAAATATATTCACAAAGTTATGACTTAAAAATCAGAAATCTTAGATATAATTTTCAAGCAGAAAAAAGTTTAAATATTGTTCATGTCAGTAGGAATATTCAGAACTTAATAAGAATGAAATTCAGGATATTATTTTTATATATAATGATGTCAATGAATTTTCTGTAACCTTGAAAATCCCCTCCGGACGTGTTGCTCTGCAATTGCTTTCCATGGTACGGGTCCTCCGAGACAAGATTCCTAAGGCCTAAAGTCATGTGCTTTCTCCATTTTTCATAGGTCCACACCTAAAATAAAAACGTGTGCTTTGGAGTACATGCTATTTATTATTGAGATGAGACTTGGGCTATTTGAAATTAATTTTAATTTAATGATTTAAATTTAAAATTTTTAATATGTAATTTTTCACATAAAAAATTACTTTTGTGGGAGTGACAATTATTAAAAATATAAAAATAAAATTTTATCAAATATGAACCATGATCCTTACAATATTCGATCACAACAAGTTTCACAATGCAAGATGAATTTTAGTATTATGATCAAAGTTGTCAAACTCATTAATTTAAGTAAACTTATAACAAAAATGTAAATCCAAATAGTAAATTTATAAAAGTTTGCCTTCATTAATAAAATAATTATTAAAAATATATTATTATATAATTAAAGTATAAAATATGATCATAATTTAATTTAAGTATATTTTAAATATAAGTTATTGAAATTAATTCTATCTACGTTGACAAATTATCATACTTAACATAAAAATTTTAAAATAAGATAATTTATTTTTGGATTTTTTGTTTTCTTTTTTATTAATATTAGTTTTTGTTTTTTGCATTTTGTTTTTCTTTAAACCAAATCTTACCACTTTTATAAATTGAGTTATACAAGATGTATATTTAACTCACTTGATTCAGTAAAAAAATCAATAAGTTTAACTAATTTAACTAAATTTATATCTAATTTAAATTCATAAATAAATTAACATGATTTTATAAATTATAAAAAAAATAATAAATTTAAAGAGTTAACTAATTAACTTATCGGTTTATTTGACTTTACATCTTAGAGTGAATTAATATAATTTTATAAATTAAAAATATAATAATAATAATTTTAAAAAGTTATGCTAAGAGTCTGACAATAATAAATTTCTGATGCGATATGAAATTGTAAAAGCTCACAGTTCAAGAGTTGAAGGCGACAATGAGTAAAAAATTGGAAGTTTAAAGTACAAAGAGAACATTCACCACTAATCCATTGAATAAGAAATTACTATTATAGATATGTCATGTCTGTGCATGTTTCCAAGAGAGAAGCATTCGAAATGCAACACATGATTGGGAACTTGGGGAATTGGTGAAACACCCGTCAACCAACCCCGTAGCGATGTACACTATGACCGAGGTCATGGTCATGAAAACAAAAAAAAAAAAAAATTGTTAGACTCTGCATAATCGATCATCATTTTTTTATTAAGTATTAATATTAATTAAATATTTTCATTAAGAATTTATTTTTTGCTTACATTCTATACAAGTAGTCATCATTTTTATATCAAGCATTAATATTAATTACATCCTCCCATTAAAATTTATTACCCTATATTTCGTTGCGCCAATCACTCCCATTTATAATATCAATTTAGCATTCTCTAATTAAAAAGGTAAAATGCATATACTATATTAATATATTAAGCTCTTTTTCAAATACATATATTTCTTAAAGAAGAATATTGATGATACTACTAATAATTACTACTATTTAGGGTATTCATGAGTCCGGTTTAGTTCAATTGTAAACAAAAACTAGAGCAAACCAAATTAATTAATTTATTTATAATTGAAACCTGATTTATTTTTGGAAAAATTGGTTTAGTTTGGTTTTTTTTTTTCACTTTGGTTCGAGTTAGTTAAAATTTGGATCAAATTTTAATATATTTATTTGTTTTTCCTCCTTTTTTTATAACTTATACTTAGTATGAGTGTGTCATTTATTTTATTTTTTTGTAGAGTGTGTTTATATAGCCACTTGATAGTTAATAAGATTTTTTATTTTCCTCTAAATATTTTTAACAGCATGAAAATACTAACAACAAAGTGGCATATATACGCACCTTCGTCTTTTGAATTATATAATTTTAATTCATTGTTACTTGGTCAAAGTTTGCTTATTGTGAATTTATGATGACATTTGAGTGTAATTTTTACAAAAAAAGATATAAAACAAAGTTAGTTACTCTAATTTGCAAAAAAATACTAATAGCAATAACTTTTTATTGTCAAACATATATAATGGTATTTTTCCTAATCATAGGCAATAGTTAACTAATGATAGACAAGTATCCTTAAAAAATATCATAAAAGTTATAGATAATATATAAATAATTGTAACATATTTTTAATCATCAATTAGTAGATAACTAAATTTAGGATTGAGAAAAAAGTTAAAAAAATTTATAAAAATATATAAAATAAATATAATAAGATTTGATTCAATTTGATTCACTTTTTTTTTTGAGAAACAAAAATGTGAACCAAATCAAACCACTTTTTTATTATTCCTTAGTTAGATAAACCTCCTAGTTTTGAAAACTCATGTAAATCTTCCTTAAAATTAAATATATGTTGCATAAACCTTTCTTTTATATTTGAAATTTCATTTACTTTCATCCAACTATTAGTTGATCATTAAATTTAACTTTTAAACTTTAAATTTGACCAAAATACCCTTCTTTAATAAAACAATGATCTAAAAATTTATATTTGCAAAAAAATATTTTTGCATATAAATAAAAAATATAATAAATACATTTTCAAATTTTTATTATATTATATAATCTGTTAATTTTTATCTTATTATAAAATATTATGATTTTATTTTTATCAAATTTTTGAAACTTATTTTTGTTCATCTCATAACATAAAATGATATAAGTTCAAGATATTTTTATATAATTTAAATTTAAAATTTGTAAACATGTTTTTTCCAATGAAATGATGTAACTATCAAAATAATATAATTTAGGATTTATTAGGGTGCAGAATAAATTAGTAAATAAAAATTTTTTAATACAAATTTCAATTTAAAAATACATTTTTAGAATCTTTTTAAAATATTCCTAACATAATTAATGGATTGAACTAAATTGCATATTTTCAAAATAGAGGGGATGTTTATGTAATTAAGGTAAAGTAGAAGGGTGATTAGAATATTTTACTCTAATTTTTTAGATCAAGTTATCAAAATTCTCCCTATAAATTACATTAGAAGTTTTATATGTCGAGTAACCATATTCATCAATGACTAATATTTGTAAATCCTCCTTGCTTCAACATAGGAAACAATAACATATAATTAGCCATGAATGAAAATAAGATGAGACAAGTACAAACCAACATGGCAAGCTATAATATCCGTTAACAAGTTATAAAAGCTCCTTACCTGATTACAATTAATGACAAAGTTCAAGATAATCAAAGGTCTAAACCCAACAAAGATTATCAAATTTGTAATTTATAAAAATGAGATCCCAAATTTTCATAAATCAAATTCACTAAAACATTATTTAATAAATTTTAAATTAAAATAAAAATAATCTCTCAAAAATATGTGATACCTTATACGA